ACAAGGAGCTGCTTTTCACATCCCTCCCCTTACAAAGTCAATTTGCAAACAGCATTTTTCTTCTCCCCCTGCCATAAGGCCAAAGGCCAGAGCCCAGCAGCCGCCGGACAGCCGGAGGAGTGAGACGGGGCCTGTGGAGAACACGGAGCACCCAGCCCTGCCCCTGGGCTCTGCCGGACTCCTGCAAGCAAATTCTGACACTCAGCTTCAATTTTTAGGCAGTGACCATTTTCTAAATCTCTATTTTTAATCTGTGAGAGCAAACTTCAGGTTTTTATGTCTCTGATTGCCTCGAGCACCACCCCCAAGGCATCAAATCGAGTCTTACCTTGGGCCCCACCTGAGTTCTGTGTCTGTGTGGGCTCCTTGTGCCACCCTGGGATGGGATTTGTGCCACCCCGAGCTCTGGGTGAGTCCTGCCCTGGCAGGGACAGCTGGTGCCACCAGCAGGGAGCAGTGAGTGCTCCAGGCCTGTCCCACACAGAGCAGGTTTGAGGGTTGGGGCTCCAAGGTTTCTCAGTGCTGCATTTTCAAGTTTAAAGCTTTTAAAGTTTCTTGGAATAAAATTTCTCTGATGCTGTCCCACCCGTTGTGCGGTGCCATCTGTCCCCTGGGGTGACACAGGAGCACAGCCCCTGCTCAGGATCCATTCCTGCCATTATTCCCTGGCTTCTGTCACTGTTGGAATCCCTGGGACTTTGGGAGGTGGAGCAGGTCCTGGATAGCACCCGTGAGCATCAGCCTAATTAAGGAGGTGCAGCAGATGGCACTGGCAGGGCTAATTGGCCGCCCCTGGCTAATTGGGGTCCTTACCCAGGCCTTGCCTCAGGTGCCAGCTCCATCCCACGAAGGCTGAAGGGAACTTCCTCCTAAAATAAAGACATTTTACAGATGCTCCCACCAAATCTGCTTATTTAGACAAGAAAAGAAGAATAAAATATTTAAAAACAGGGGGACACCAAACCTCTGCTCTTCCCATTCCTGGGGAGAAGGGCTGTGAGAAAATCAGGGAATGGGAGCTGGTCCCTGAGGTTTGGGATGGATAATGGGGTGCTGTGGGTCAGGAATCATTCAATGTGACAAATAATTAATGACTGAGGTGGCAGAGGCACAAGGAATATCCCAGAGGAACAACCCCAGCAGTGGCCACGCTTCCCTTTGGTACAGAATCCTGACATCCCTCCTGCTCCAAGCACACACACAGATCCCACAGCAGTGGGATTCCAGCAGACCTGCAGCTCCCTTTCTGCCCTTCCTGCTGTGCCTCAGGCAGCTCCAGCACAGATGCCACTCCCTGCAGCCCAAAGAAGGACACAAACTCCTGCAGGGATGTTAAGAATCTCCTTTATGCAGGTGTACACTCGATGGCCAAGAGCACTTACAGGTTAATGCCGTGTATGGAACCGAGATGGACACACACCAAGCTAGAACTAATACCCAGCTCCAGAGTTTTTCCATTGTTTAGTATAATTTTACATTCTGAATGAATATATATTAAAAAAAATAATAATAATCATCACAAACCAATCTTTGCTTCGACAAACAAGCCTAGTACAGACAATGTCAAGTTCATTTAAAGCACGAGGAATTAAGGATGATTAGAAAAGCTTTAATTAAAAGGCCATTTGAGCCACAGCTGAGGTGCTGCAGCACTTCCTTCCCAGGAGCATGGAATTAAAAAAAAAAAAAAAAAAAACCAAAAAACTCCCTAAAAAATCCCTAAAAA